ATCAAAATGAGGTAAGAAAAGATGAAGAGAGAAAAACAAAGAAAAAAAACGAAAGGATAGAACTTAAAGCAAAACTTGGCACACTAAAAAAGGCAGAATGTAGACCAATCGTTTCTAGACAATGTAACTAAGCTTCTTTAAATGTAGTTCATTAGACTAGCATTACCAAACAGAAAAAAGAAAATTAAAGAAGAACCCTGAACCTCATTAAGATAGAACAGATGAACATTTATTTATCTGCTTTTCTTATTCCACACTCAGCGACTATCGGCTGAATCATTTCAATAATAATCTTGCCTTTCTGTAATTTTTCCCCAATATTCTCGACGAAATGAACTAGTAACATCGACAATATACCAAAAAAATAAATGGTAAGCGGAAGAAGCATACCGATTGCCGATACATCGGAGACTGTGGTGGATAAGCTGCCGGTTGCCCTTTAGGAGGAGGAGCAGGAGGAGCTGGGTAATACGATGACGGATACTGACCAGCTGGCATTGATGCGTGCTGTGGTGCAGACATCTGCTGTGAACTTGTTGCATAGATCGGTCTAGATGGTGGGGCAGACTGTACGTTACCCTGCATCATTCCCTGTGGATAGACAACTGGAGATGGCGGTGGCTGACCAGATGACGACTGCGGCTGAGCCATTGTTTGTGAATAACCTATGTCATTTTTGTTGTGATTCGCTTTATTCGTTAACTGTGTTTGCATTTATTATTAAAAATATTTTTCACAAAATGAAGAATAACACCAGAAGAAAATTACCAGTGACAAAAAACAAACGTAAAATATTTATATTCTTCATCTATATAAAATACAGAAAAGAATGTTTCAAAATACGCTAATGGCTCGATGAACTGTTGAACGGGAAAAAGTAATGAAGTGGAAATTAAACAACTTTCATAACTACAGATGATGATGATATAAGCGAAAGCTGGCCAAAAATTTTAAACCAGACAGGTCAACAGCTAAACAACAACAGAATCAGTTTTAAGAATCCATAGACTATAAAACTGTAGAATAAAAATTTTTTACCTCCCCTCTGCCTCCTTTCTTTCGTCACAACATCGGCTGCGAAAAAAAAAGAAGAAAAAGAAGACGAACAAGACGGAAAATAAAGGAAAAACGCACTCCTACTACCTTTTGAAATAAGGGTATTTCTATATTAAAGTTCACTTAATTAAAACCTTCCCAACTTTTTGCTCCGCTAAACAGCAACAAAACAAGACAACAATCATTTTCAAAAGAATTAAAACGAAAATTTGAAGCATCAAAAGAAAGAAAAAAATTTTTTTTTCAAAGTTTATCACTAAAATTCATCTCAAACAAAAACCAATATTAATACTCTACTGAAAAAAACTACAGCTAATTTTGTTACAGACAGTTACTTATACATTTTTTATTCCCCCTCTGTCTTATTTTTTTCTTTTCGTTTCTTTTACACACTTCCCTAACTGCACCAAATTCCACACAAATCCTTCAGATTTTGGCCTTTTTCCATTCACTCTTTTTGCCAGCAATTCACTCCCACTTTAATCACTATCATGTCATCAGAAATTTTCTTACAGACTTGTCAAATTTAACTGTTAAGAACAAATCAAAAATAAGAAATGAACCCAAACACTCCCAGAGTCACAGTCACTCACACTCTCCACACTTCACATACCCCAAATAACCGAAATGACAATTGTAAGAAAAAAACGATGACTTCAAAAAACTTTCTTGTCGTTCACTTTTCAGCCTCTCTTTTTCCCCCTTCCCATTCCCTTTATTCACCATCTTCTTATTCTCTCACTAATGCTATACAATAACCACAGGAGAAAAACTGCATTGAAAAGCACAAAAAATGTGCGTGTATGTGTACGCACTGCCCATAAAAAGTGAAAAGTAAATGCAGACAGCCAATAACCCTATTCGAACACAAATTTGGTGGAGCTGCATCAAATACACAAAAGAATAGGTACAAAATAATAGCAAGGACAGTGAAATTAAAAAACTGTTAGTACATAATCCTTACCAGCTCCTAACCCTCCCTCTCCCGCTCCAAAAAAATTTGTAAAAAAATATAATCTGCCTATGTCGCAAACTTCAATGAATTAGTAGCTTAATTTAAAACCTGAGAAAGTAAAACGTTCCTTACCTACTAGCGTATCACCAACAATACCAACTCAACTGTTATTTTCACCACTATTAAACTTCTAATACCGCTAGTGCTAAAATGAAGTACCGTTACAGTCACTGGTCCTAGATATAACTTCTAGAGTTACGTCAGCACATAACGAAATCTCCTATGAAGCTTGAAAGGAAACTTTTCCAACAATCTTCAAACTCATTCGGACTTTTGAAGAACCCTTTCCCAATCAAAACAAGCGAATCTACGTCCACATTAATGAACACTATATCAAAAGCAATAATACGCTAGTATCTCGGTTACTACCACTAAGAGGAAACGAAACAGCATGAACAGCCAAAAGAATTAGGCATAAAACAGTTTAAAACTTTGGTTGAAATCTAAATATATCAGTCGAAATGTAAAAAGCAAAAAATTGCTCGCAAAGAAAAGGTCAGTTTCAAAAAGCTATGAAATTTGCGTTCCTGTGAAAAAAAATACTTTTCGCCTAGACACAGTTTAACAAACAATAAAATTCGGTTGATAATGCTAGCAAAATTTTCTTCACCCCCCACCTCCTCAATTTTCCTCTAGATCTCCAAACTGAGACATAAAAACGAAATTTGGAATATGTAAAAAATCTAACAAACAACGGTTTTATACAGCAATACCTATAGAACTACTGAGGCAGTTCGAAAGATAAAAAGAAAGTTAAGGAACTCAAAAGACAAGAAGAAATACAAAACGCATATATATATATATATATATATATATAT